TAAAAAAAATCAAATTGTTTTCTCTCTTAAAAGGCCTTGATTTCTCCCATGGAAAAGTGAGCTTATTGGATAGATCGGAGCTGGCAAAACTGAGTGTGGCTTGGCTTTGCTATCTGGAGAAGTAACTCCAATCAGGATTTCAGAATCAAGGGGGAAAACCAGGAAGAAATCTTCATAGCAGCATTCTATTAGGAGGCTTCCATTGGTGGTGGTGGTTGGGTTTTTCCTCAGTAAGATACACTACATCTTCAGTCTGTCTGCTAAAAGTACTATGTATTCTTCCAGGGAGGAAAGCATCAGAAAAACCTTCAGAAAAGTAATGAGAAAGTAAATCTTCCAACTTCTTTAAGCCTTTGACTTCAGTTCTCAAATTCCTTATGGCTCTTAGTTTTTTCCATAAGCAAGACCTGGCCTCATTGCACTGCTGTGGTAATGCAAGAAGGCCCAACCCACACACATAGTGCATGAAAGCAGTTGTTCTTGTCTGGTACCAGCAGAACCTGATGTTCAGGTTTTGTGAAAATGATAGTTTATTGGGTGCTAAATGCAGAAGAAATGTGAGGGAAGGCAAAATCATGGGTATCATCGTGTGGAATCGTTTGTGGAGTGCGAGAGGTAGACATGTAGAGTCGCTCCTCTTCATCAGTCTTCTCCCCCAGCAGTGAAGAGCTAAATGAAGTGGACAGTGATTTCTCTTATCTATTATTCAGCTACACAGCCAAAACACAACTGTTCAGGAGAAAAGCAACACGTGCCTCACCAGGTAGCAGACACTCCAGCTCATTTTTCAGCTAATTCCTGTGCTCTTCCCCTAAGCACTTGAAAGCAAAAAATCCCAAATGATAGATTTCTTTAGAGGTGACCAGTAATTCAGCTATTTTCTTGATGATTTTGGAGGAAAACAGACTTCTCATTCTAATTCTTGCAAAGGAGATAAATCAATTTGATTTAGTAAACCAAGATTGTGGTTTTCTGTATTCCCATTATAAACTACACTGTACAGTCAGGGCATACAGTGAGGGATACTACTAAATACTAAACTATCTTTAAAATTAGCACTGTGCTCCTGAGTCCAGGTAGAGGCCTCCTAAAACCTGTGTCTGCATCTACATTAGGTAATCACACCATTTTTCATTCAGCAATTTCCTTAAAGAAGGTTGTCCTGTTGCTCAGAGAAGAGATTAAAGTAAATCTGTAAGTAAAATTTATATATATATATATATATATATGTAAAAAGTAGGGCTGCAGGAAGATTTCAGCATAGTGTTCCCCTTGAAGCCTACTTCTGATCCATGAGACGCAGACATAGGCTGGAAGATGAACACAGGAATCACAACCACAGGAAACCTGGGCTCATCAGTTGTGCTGTACATGAGTTTATCAAGAAATGTGCAGCTCTGTGAGCACCACAGGCCTAGTGTTCTAACAGATCTGTGTCCCACTGATGTCTGATTTTGGAGGCTAAGAAAATATTGCTTGAACTCAACCTTTTTCCATGTATATGACAGTTTTAGGCCTTCTTTCCCTGTGAGGCTGATATTGCAGGTTTTCATTTAGGACACTTTTTTTCTGCATGATATTCATCTGCTTTAATAACGCCAATTTAAAAAGAAGAAAAGAATATCCAGAAAACAATTCTATGTGTTTGTGTTGTGTCCAGGTTTAATGCCCAAGCAGGAGCCCACATGAGTGTGAAATGCAGTGGAAAAGAGGACTCGGAAAAGGAACGAAGGATTCATGTTGGCAGTGGTGTATGGAAAGAGATTAATAGGAACACAATAACAGCCACCCTTAATGGGAGACAGAAACCTCTCTGATCCAAAATAACGAGCAGAAGTGAGTTTCTTCCTTAGAAGCTGCTGAAGGCAAAAATCATTAACTTGGACAACTGCTGGCACTCTGGGGCTTCAGTACATTTGTTTTGAAGTTTTCCAGTCACTGGGAGATACTGGAAAAATATTTTCCTAGATATTAATATTGTCCTTGTAAAATATATTCCTAGACCAAGCAAGCATTCATTTAAGAGGACTTTAGCAGGTCTGTAAGTCTGTGTTTTTATTAAAAATCCAAACAAATTCCTTTTTTCTATATGGGCAAAATGTGAATCTGCAGGAGCAGGAGAGGCCTAGGCTCTGCTGTAATAGTTTCTGAAGAACATGCCTTGGGTTGTGTTCTGACTACAGGAAAGCTACTTACTTTAAAAAGATATTTTTTTTGCTCACCTTGCCAGTAAGACCAAGAATGATGAGTGTCCTTTAATAAGGTGTTGCACCATCAGCAGATGATCTTCCGAAACTGAAAAGTGGGCTCTGCCTTTAACTCTCTAAGAAGTTATCTTTCCTGCCATACTTCTTTTCATTTGGTGCTTTTCCTTTTGTCTCTCCTTGTTGCAGCAGCATCGTTCATTTTAGGGTGCTGCAGACCTGTTACCCTTTGGTGTACTACCTCTTGGTCCAGTCAGATACTCACCTGGTAGCAAGTTGTCTCCTAAGGAACTACACTGGTGTAGATTCACTGAGGATCTCTCCTTCTCCTGTATCGCTGTAGAAAAAAACAGGAATGTTTTAGAATAGGTAGAGTGGAATTAACCTCAATCACTACATGGATATTTGGAAGAGGAATCTGCAGTAGTACAGTACGTAACTGATGACTAGCTGACTCATGTAGGGTGGGCAGTTGCAGTTCTCAGCCAGCTGGATGCAAACAGAGGTGCAGATGGATCACATCAGTGAGAGTTTAGAGAGAAAAAAAATGAGGATGCCGGGCTGGGGCTAGAGAAGGGCTGTGAATGATATTATAGCACAAATAAAAACGAGAATAAAACATCATGATGCTGTCAGCACTTAACAGCAATCAAGAGTCAAGTCCAAATCCAGAGAAGTTGCCAGCCTCACAATACCTACTGGGGTCCTTGCTCTGGGCCCACCAAGCACACTCAGCTTTGCTTCCAACAACTAGGTAGCTGTCACTTACCCTTCAAACGTTTTAGAGGCTCTTTGGGGCAAAAATATAAATACTGTGTTGGAAAGATGCAATTGTCAGTCCAGAATATTTTAGGATATTTTCAGTGCTGGTTTCTTGGGTTTTTCCTGTGGCTAGATGAAGGGATAGTGTTTCTGCACACTGTCACAGGGTTGTTTTTTTTTAATGTTCACCACATACATTGAAGCCAAACCATAGCCTCGTTTCTTTTGGGTTTGGACTGGCAGCAGAGTAATTGCTGCAGCTGAATAGATCAACTATGTGAAATGCAGGTGGAGTCTGAGCATGTCAGAGCAAGCAGTGCTGTCCAGTCCTTAACACAAGGAAGGAACCACAGGCTCTCTTCCAAACTGCTCAGACGTACTTGCCTACTGGAAGAGCTGAGCAGAGAGAGGAAAATTGGTGCTCTTAACGAATGGGGAGTTGGGGTGCATCTTCAGGAAGATTTAAGGTACAATTAAATTTCACATGGAGCTTCCCATGCTGGTGTTTCATACAGTAACGTGTAAAATATAGAAAGGTGACTTGTAGGCAATACAGAGCAACCACTAAATCAGTTCACATGTGTAACATCAGACAGTAAATGAAGGCCTTTCAGGGCTGTGATTCCTGACCTTTAGCAGCTCTTGCTGCAGTGATCTGAAGGAGTTCCTATTTATTACTTTCCACTTTGCCAGAAGTGAGCTGTCCCACTCTGATAAAGGGCAAAGGCAACTGAGAAAGCTGATTTTAAATCATCATCACATACCTTGGCATAGCTATGAGTTAGAGCTTTTGAGTGTAGAGACCGGGTGGTATAGAAAAGCTGAAACATTAAGGCATCAGCTCCTTTTGGAGATAAGCAGCTCTAAACAGTCTTTGGGCAATCTTATGAAGACCCAGCACCTAAGGTAACCAGGAAAATGTTTACATCTTGTATTTCCAGCATTCAACTCAGCAAATAGCGCCTTTTGCATGGGCGTATGTCAAATTGCACATGTACCATCTTTTTACACTAGCACAAGGTGTGTTTATGGATCAGCCAGCCATTCACAGATTCACATCCCCATATACAGGGATTGTCTGAGGAAGCTGTGTATGCAGTTGCAAGCTTGTCTGCCTGTAAGAAGTTTTTTAAACCTTTACTTCTTCATATCTTTACAGAATCTAGTTTATGTAAAATGAAATGCTATCCTGAACCACTTGTTGGTAGTAGTTAGAACTATACAAAATACAATTAAACCACACACTGTATGTACTTCATTCATATTTCATTATAGTCTCAGCTTAGGAAAGCTTTTCTATAAACCTGGTCTAATGCTTGAAAACTTTTTCAATGACCTGAGGTGATGAGTGGTTTTGCTGTTTAAATCATATGAAATACATAGTTGTAAAGAAAAATTGATAAAATCCTGCACTTCTTATTGTAAGGATTTAATGTACAGGAAAAGATAAAATAAGATGTGATTGCAAGCCACAAAGAGTTTGAGAAACAAGATACAAAGTACTCAGAATGACCAGAAAGTCCTGAAATTTCCAGTTGTATTTTAGTATTCTATGTATTTGCATTTTAGGCTTTCCAACTACACGGTATAAATACCCAGGTTGTAAAATATGAAGCTAAAGTTCAGAAAGTATTTTGATTTTTTTTAAGGAAAACTGAAAGTTTATGTCTGTATTTCTTCTGGGTCCATTTGAAACACCATGTCCTGTGTCACTTGCCCATACTGGGGATGACTGAAAGGCACTTGACTTGCTCTTTGGTACACATGAAGTTTTAGAGCAACTTATCCTGTCATTTATCCAGGGCAGATCCCTGCTCTGAGGCAGAAAAGATGTATCAGATAGGAGGGCTCTATCCCACAGAGGTGGTGACTTCCCTTGCTCTGCCTGGCTGAGCAAGTATCTAACCTTGCCTTCTGACAGGTGAAATGAAATATTTATCTGTTCCGTGCTTCCTCCTTCCCATACCTGGCTGGCTGTGCCCCCTTAGCTCCTTGCGCCTTTCTTATATTACCTCTTGTCTTTTTTTGCAGTGTCCCTGCTTAGCTAATCTTGAACCCAATCTCATTCAGCAGAATTTGCTCTGGTGCTGTTACATAGGAAGAACCAGACTGAAGAGCTGTGATTTGACTGATGTGTCAGTGGTTTGTGTAATGGTAAGTGAAGAGGATCAGCTGATGTCCTGGTGCTGGCAGAATTAAAGAGTGTTTCCACTTCTAGCTAAAACGTCTGGGAAAATATTGGAACAATATCTCCAATTTTTGTTATATTTTTTTTGCCAGTAACTGTGTAAAAGTCTGTAATTTATATCTAAGTCTTTGTCCCCTCCTCCATGTTCATAGGTTAGTTTTATTTCAATTGAATGAATGGAAACACAGCAAAGATAAAAACTATTCACCTAAGTGAAGGAAACTGTTGAGAGACCTTAAGCATTTGTTCACTGCAGCAGTATATACTCTGTTCTGAACATGGACTCATTGAGCTGTGAGCTGGCACTTTTACTTTGTCTGGTGTATTGAATTCCCTCTTTCTCCTGTGCTGAATTCCAAGTTCCAGTTGAGCTTAGAATGAAGCCCATGAAAAGACTGTGATATCAAGTGTCTCTTCCAACAAAGCAGCAAGGGAGCAAATAGCAAATAATTGAATAGGAAATGGATTATGTTTCATGCTGCATGGCACTCAAGAGGAATCATTAGATGAGAGCTTTCCTAAGGCACTTTATATTGAATAGTGGTTGGCTAAGCCCTTTTGTTCCTGTAAGATTTTACATACATGTTTTCTTCAAGTTGCAGTTCTTTGCTAATAAGAAGCCAAGTTTACAAGTTCTAATTATTTGGGGGTTTTAATAAAGGACATTGTACCATTGCTATGGATCTGACAAGGGAAGGCTGGGTGCGTGATGGTTGCTATGAGCAAATTGAATGGGTGCTAGCAGTTACTGATGGTTTAAATTTGTCTTAATGTCCATTAGATGATGAAATTTCCCTTAGATGATGAGCATTCACCTGAGGCTGAATGCTGCACTTGAGTTTTAGGCCTTCTCCTGTCACTTGTCCTGAAGTCAACACTGAACAGGAGGCCGAAGGTAGACACTGGGAAAGATAAGGTTTCAGGTTAATGTTGGAAACTGTAAAGTAAGGAATATGCTTTACTCACACTTGCTTCATCGTTACTTGAAGTCCATTGAAACCAGCAGAATGCTTGGGCCCCTACGAAGTTAGCGTTGTTCCTGTTCCTTTGCAACTGCTGAATTCACTCAGCTGAAGCTGATAAACCCACAATCGGAGTTCCTACAAAGGAAGCACAACTTGAGACTTGAGAAAGAGTCTTTGCCAGTCAAAGGGCAAGCTGCTGTCAGTGCCCACAAGCATCCATGTGACAGCAACCTGCAGGAAGTCAGGGTTGATGAGTTCCAGTGCTCAGGCAGTTGCCTTTCTTCCCATTCTTCTCTCCTGCTTTTCTCAGCAGAGTGGAGAAACTAGAACATTAGAAAGCAACAAACATCTGAAGCTAGAGCTACATTAAAAAGTGAGATCTCTCATTTCTAATTATTGTAGTAGCTCTATGAATTTAAACTGAACTTAAATGAATCTGCTAGGAAGAAAGGCAGATAAAGTGACAATGTTATGCTGGTTAGAAATTGCCAGATGTCCTGTGATTTCATTTGGGGAATATATAAGATTTGAGTCTCTGTTTATACATATTTTTCAATATATTTTCATGTATATAGATATGCATACCTGTATATTGCTACTAACTTGAGGTGGATTTTCAGATATCATCCTGCACCTTGTTGCAAATGGGTTAGGATGTAAATTAAATCAACCCAGAAGAGACCTAAAATAATACCTATTTAGTCTTCTAATCTTTTTTTTTTAAATGCAGATAAGAACATTGAGCTGTCCTGGGGATTCCTGGGTAAACATGCAAGAGAGAAAATACCAATATTGCAGCCCTTGTGCAATAGCATAGCTCTGGAGAATGATGACAAACTCTATCATACGCCAAAAAGAAACTTGCATCGTAGCCTCCTTTAAGTTCACTGGCATTCATATACTTAAGCTGAACACATCCATTCATATTACAGTCCCACGGAGGTCTCCCTTTTCTTCCTTCCTCTTTGGTGCATAGGGCTGGAACTTGGTGCTCCTTCTTTTGTTAAAAGGTGCCTAGAAGTAGAGCAGAAGTACTGGATTCTAAGCTAGGGAGCGTGCTTCACACATGAGCCCCTAGCTGCCACTCCCACCAGAGTAGGTGTTCTTGCTGGTGGGATGCTGCAGCAAACCACAAAGGTTTTAGAAATCACCACTCTTCTTCCCACAGCCCTTCCCTTCCTCAGCCTGGCAGCTGGGAAAGCTTTCACAATAGACACTGGCTTTGGTTTTTAAATCATCCTTTTAAATCATGGCTATTGGCCACTAGCAGAGGAAGGTACTGGGTTAGATGGATGCTTGGGCTGATGTGTTGCGCTGTTCTCAAGTTGCTGTTTTCTGTGTCTGGCTGCATGTTGAATCACATCACCATCACCGGGTCAGTGAATAGGGTTTTGTGTTTCTGTTTTGCGACATCTCTCAACAGATGTGAGGTTTGAAAAATTAAGTTTTTCAGGGAGCTCTGCTCTTCCTAGGAACCCAGAGCAGATCTCACCTTCCTCTGAGCTTGGTATATACTTAGAATTCCTGAGTGAAAAAATATTCCTTGGCTAGCGGTTTGAAAGCAGAAGGCCAGTGATGAAGGAAGAGGTTTATCTTCTAAAAAGCTGCTTTGCCATCTCACTTAAGCATTTCCTTGGCTTAAATGCCAGTAAAAACAGTGGAAGTCCTTTGCTTTAAATCTGTCCAGTCCTTCCCTATGACACACTTTAGCACCACTTGGTCTGTATTGGATTTACTCTCTATGCTAAATAAATACATCAGAAATAAATTGCTGTGGTAGTTTCCCCTGTTAAACAGTACAAAAATTATTGCTTCCTCTTGCAAACCCCTTCTTTTCCTTTTCCCAGAAACAGCAAGCAGCTACATTGAATGGGTTTTTACACAAGGTTATTTTACAGGTCAGGAGGTTAGCTTACTTTTGTCTTTTTACTTCAGCTGTTTCAGAAGAAATCCTGTGTGTGTTCCTCTGAATTGTAAAGGTTGGTAAGAAAGAGAAGCCTAAGTCATCCATTAATCCACAGGCAAAGTACTATTCAAGCAGCTGCAGTGAAAGCTCTCACATGCTGCCCTGGAAATAACCCCAGCCTTGACGTGGTAAGATGACCCTAGGTAAGGTCAGAAGCTCAGTTCTCATTTTCATTTAAGCTTCTGGTTTTTAAACAGTATTTGGAGTTGTCCCTTATGGTTATGCTGTTCTCTTAAAGCAGATGTATCCTCAGAGAGAAAGAGAGAGAGAGAAGTCCAGACTAGCAGAGTTTCATCTGCTAAACATTGCTGCTCTCTCATCTCACTTTACTGTTCTTTTGGCTTAAATATTTAATGTCCATAACCCCATGTGAGAGCAGCAAGTGCTATCAGGAATTTAGCTTAAGCTGCTTTTCAGAGACAAAGCACTGGTTTTAATTCCTTCTGGAAATGGAAGCATTTGGAATTGTCCCAGCAAATTCAAGGCAGAGTGGTAAAACTTGCCTGCTTGTATACTTCTTCATGAAGCGTGTGAATCAGAATGATCTGTGTACACAAAGGAAGAGATGGAAGCTCCTGGATGGGGTTTTCAGGAGGGCATAAAAAAGCCAGGCCTCTCCATCCTGATGGTCTGAATGCTAACTGAGTATGACATTTAAATGAGCCTTAGGTCAAACCTCTTTCAACTTTGAAAATCCAGTCTGTGGTAACCTTCCATGTGCCTTGGGGTCAGCATGCAGTGCGTTCTGCATGTTCTGTGCACCAGGGAGAGAGCAATGGGTTTCTGCATAAAACTGCCTATTTAGGCAAAATACAGCTGATAGTGATAGAGTTAGGTGGTGACTTCACCATCTGGTCTAAGTTAAGCAGGCATAAAAGCAATGATGATGCCACAGGTAGCAGTTTCTTTTCTTGTTACAAGCCCATCTATATAAGGGCTGCGGGTGGAAATCCCAAAACTCAACCAACAGTGTAGCTAGTACATCTGGCTTAAGGCCTGATACTACTACAAATAGACCATTAAGGTAGGCAGTAGATACGAACACTGACTCCATACCTAAATAATTATGATTGCAAAAGGATTCAAAAGTTTCAGAGAGAACTGTTGGATAATAAAGCTCTCTAACATCTTATTTCTCTGAACTTGAGCAGTCTTATCCAAGTATCTGTAGTAACAACAGTGCCAGCAGTGTTACAGCCTCCAAGCAAGGCTTTCCAAATAAAAAATTTACCTATTTCCAATTTAGTCACATCTGGTCCATACTAAAAGTAGAGGCTTAGTAATGTCTTCTGTCAATTGGAAGAGTTAAGAAAGAAGTGATTATGTAGGTGCGTATTTGCAACTCATGCATGATGCAGGCAGTGTTCTCCTATGTGAATCCAATTGAATGGGTCAGTATCCATTAGATTTACCAAAAGCGCTTTGTACTGTGGCTCTGGTATGTTTATCTGTGACATAAAACACCCCAGAGAAGGGTGAGCTTTTTCCTTCCTTAAATAAGCATTGCCCATCCTACCTGTGGAGGGGTTCACTAGAGGGGTTAAAACTTGACTTGGAGATTGAATTACTCTCATTTTCTTTACTGGTACTGACATAATTTAATGCAAGGCTGAAAAGCAGGGAATGGGATGCAGCTTGCAGCTTCCCATGATCCTGGTTAACGTGGCCTTGGAGCCATCAGCAGCTTAAAGGAGCGGTGGTGCCTCTGGGGTTCTAACTAGTCATCATTAAGATGCAGAATGGCCTGCTGGCAACCATCCTCAAGCTGTGGTTTCTGTTATTGTGACATGGAATGTCCTTTGTAACAGACTGAAGGAAACTGAAGTGACAAAAACTACTGACATGATTGATTTGAGGTATTTTGTGCAGTAACGAGATAACATCATAAATAGCCTGTTGGAGTGGCACCTTCAAACTGGAGGTGAACCAGACTTTCTCACTGGCTTGCCTAAGGAACATTATTGATGTTTACATTCTATTTTTCACTTACTTCTGTGGTGCAGCTTTTGTCTTTCCTGGTTTAGGGACTCAAGCCAGGGTAGCTGATTTTCATTCTGTTGGACAGGTAAGGGAAGGAAGGCTTCAGTATGCAACTTCCCCCCAGCTTATGGAAATTCTTCTTTTTTGCATGCATCAATGGCAGAAAAGGAGTCAGAATACTAAAAAAAAATGTTCACTTCTCTCTGCAGTCACCCACCTCCCCAGGAATTTCTCTAAGAATGTGACTAAACCAAAGCACTTTTTAAGAAGTTACAAAGGAGAAGTGTCAAGCTGGGGAAGCCAGCTGGAGGTCTACATGCAACAGGGTAAGATGCTGATCAGCTTCAGACTGTATTCTATTTAACCCTGCAACTTTATGGGTTACTATGTATCAAGCCGCTTCATGGGGGCACAGCGTTTATGGGAAGGCTTTACAGTCTCTTTGTACCTCTGTATTTGATCAGACCTCCTGATACCTTCCTCTTCTCTGTTCCTTCTCCCCTCACCCCAAGTTTAGCTTATACCTGCTTATATGCCAATAATTAATTCCCTGTTCTTTCCTGTAATTGTTTTAAGTGCTGTCTTTCCAAATGTGACTGATGACCTCTGCGGAAGAACTGGTATTCCGGTGTATTCACAGATGTCTTGTTGGGCAGTACTTGGCTACAGAAGTGCTAAAAGTCTGTGCCTAAGCAGTTACCTTCGGGCATTAGCAGCGCTGCAACATTTGTCATACTTCCCTTACTTATGCCATTCATTGGTTCTGAAGCCCTGGGAATTACTGAAATCCAGTTCCTCAGGCCCAGCTGGCTGCCCTAACATGAAGGTTTATTTTGACAATGCCAAAAATTCAAACATGCTGTCACACTTGAGCTTGCAATAAATGCTATGAGAAGAACTGCCCTTCTGTGGTCCTTCAAGTCACAGCAGCTCTTCCACTTTGCATTACTGGGAGACTACCCCTTCAAAGAGCATGTTCTGCCATCCTTGAGTCTTGGGATTGAGTGATTTGCAGGGAAAGATACTGTTCTGCCTACTCAATGGCATCTAAAAGGGGGAATTGAAAATAAAAAATTCCCTGACAAATATAATCCCTGTTGCAGAGCTCTGAGTGTGGATTCCCAGAAGCCAATAACTGCTCTTTCTCTTATCAGTGGAAAAATTATAGAGAGGGTGTGAGCAGCCTTTCCTGGGCATTGATCCAGCAAGTGTTGAGCTGTTATCTCTAAGTGTACATCATCCAGCTGCCTGTATGTACAAGAAGACTGCACAGCTCCCCGCTGACCAGAAGGGTGGATGTATAAAAGTGTAAATTCTTAATTTTTACTAGCAGGAAAAGGCTAGCAAAAATCACTACGGATAGCTCGCCACAGTTCCATACCTCCAGCACACAGGTATAATTTGGGAATCCGTACAGCACATCAGGATTACTGCCTCAGCAGTTCCAGGAACCTCTTGCAACACAGGAACCACTTATTTCTGTATCAGAACCATAAGCCATTAAAAGCTTGGACTTACTGGATCTTATTTTTAGAATGATTTATGGGTATTTGTTTATTCATTTCTTTTGAGGATTCAAGGTGGTTTTAATTGCATTTTGTTTGGCACACGGTTTCAAAATTAACCACCTTAAAATAGGAACAACTTTATTGGACGTATCTGTGCAACTGTCACAAACACAGCCTCTTTCCATTTGCTTCTTATTTTTCATAACATATTTTACAACTGTAATTTTCATGTCTCACATTTTTCTCTCCCGTGGTTAAATCTTGACCATAAATCTCACACTGCTTTGTTAAAAATTATAGGTCTACTGTGTTTCCTCATTTAGCAACCTGCTAGATTAATAGTGTCATTAAAACAATTAAATATGGCTGTGCGGTTTAATATTCCCAGTTTTAGTGCACTGTGAAGGAGAGACTATAGCTATTTTCATTTATAGGATGCTCATGTTTCACGTGCTGTCTGGCAGTTTTTGTCTGACACCTTGGTACTGAAATTCCTTTCTTATGCAAGAAGGGTAATACCAAAGAAAAGCTTCTTGAGCAGCTTTGGAAATCAAGTGACAGAAATCATTGGATGCGTAGAATTTTAAATGTGTTATCTCAGCAAAAAGGCTTGGGCAGGTTTGGACTGCATGAATCAAGCTATCATAATGTGAAACTAAAGAGGATGTGGGCTTTTGGGTTGCAGGGGCAATGTCCTACACCTGCACGGCAGCAGTGAGAAGGACTGGGGTGCTTGTGACACCTCCGTTACCTGCAATGGTGATGGATCAGATTGCCCTTAGGCTGCAGCCAAGACCCTGCTGCATGAGGGTGGTTGTACCACTGGCCATTCAAGCATGCAGGAAAGGATAGGTTTCCTTTAAGATTTGGTTCTTCTATATCCAGACTGTGGGGTTTGGATGGTTTTGGTAGGTTTGGTGTTCATTTTTTCTTTTTTTTTTTGATTTGGTTTGTTTTTTTTCAGTTGTATGACTACAGCCCTTCAACTGAAAGGTCTTTATGCATGGCCTTTTTATTGTGCATTCTCACAATGCTGCTACAATAGGCTCCAGTCCATGAATCATGAATGGGACCTGGGCCATCACTGAAATGCAAATAGGAACAAAGTTCAAAAATGAGGGTGTTCTCTTCAGCTGCATCCTGTGCTAAGGAACTGGTTTATATTGCTGTGGGTTTAGCGATTGCACTGTAGGCCTCCTGCATCCCTAATGACTTGAGAAAAAAAAAAAAAATTCTCCTTTTCATGAAGCTAGCAGGTGTCAGGCTGGAAACCCAAGCTGGTCATGTAGATGTACTCTGGTTTCACAGGAACAGGATCTGGGTCTCCAGTCTCCCTGCCTCACGGAAGAGGATCTGCCCTTTGCTTGCACTGAGATGAGGGCATGTTCCATCAAGGAAGAGAATCATTAAAGGAAACCAAAGCCAAATTGCAGCAGACCTGGTATCTGGAAGTAAATAACAAACTGGGGGTTTAATGATCAAGATTAAAAGAGATTAAAAAAAGAAAAGCCCAAGCAAGGGATGTGTTCTTCACTTGGTGGAGGTGGCAAAGAAAGTTAATTAATGTGTAACTCCCCTATCTGGACTATCCCATACCTTTCTCTAACCCAGCCTGCCTTATCTTTCTTCAAAGGTGCTCTCCAGGTCCCACTGCTGCAGCAGTTCCTGACAAACAGGCAACTGCACCCCTAGCTGATTTTTAGGGAAATGTCTGTTTTGGAAGAAAGAGAACTAGTGCTTTCCAAACCAGCCACTAATTAAGAAAAGTCAGCAGATGCAGACTGGCCAAGAATGTACTAGATCAGGAACAGCATAGTAGGTCAGAAATGCAGTAAATCCTAATGATTCCTAAATATCAGTAAATGTCACTGCAAAACTGACTGTTAAACTGTGTGTGTGTACACAGTCAGTGAAGGCTTTGATTTGTCTATTACTCCTTTTATATAGTTAAGTTTGCTAGGGGATTGTCTTCAAAAAAATATATATTTGAAAGCTTTCATGAAACAGCATTGGAAAAACTCCTCTTTAGTTAATTTATCTCCGTTCCATAGAGGGAATATTGTTCTCTAAAGTTTCTCAGTTTGAATTCTTCTTCCAATTAAATGAAATTCTCTTGTGTAGCAGCCACTTGTGCTGGGAGAGAATGTGAGATTTCATCGAGACCACATTCCATAGCCTTTATAACCAGATAATGCCATGTTTTACTCCCATACGTAATATTCTTGCTGTGCAAATACTACCACAGTCTTCACACTCTATAATCCAGCCCTGTGCCAAACCTTGGGTTAATCAAGTGTTTGCAGCTGCCAGTCCAGTGCATCAACCAAACCACCACAGAGTCTGCAAGCCAAGGTGGTGGCGTGTTTGCAAGGATAGTTTTAGAACTGCAAATACTTCAGATTTTTAATGTGTATATGGTACATACAGGTATATGTAAGTACATACGTACTTGAGATACAAGAAAATCTATGATTTCTTTGGTAACAGCATGTCCAAACTTGGCTGTTGGAGATGAGAAATGTCTTGAATTGAACTTTCAAACACTTTTGAACACCTTGATTTACATTTGCTACAAACATGGCACTCAGTCTTGTTTCTTATTAGAAATAGCTGATGAGGCTCCTATTTTTAACACCTGAGTTTTGCCCTCTTACAGTTCCGTCAAACCTCATTTCTTTGTTCCCAAAGACCATAGAGCAAAGTATCTGCCCTGGCCTCCAGGTCTGTCTTTGCTGTATCTTTGTTTCCTGGACGATTAGAAGCCTTTTTAGGTAATTGGGAATAGTTCAGCAACATAGGACCTAACACACATGGCTTTTGTTTTTAAGATCACAGGAACAGCACTACCAGATGCCAGCAGTTGGGTTCTGTGTCTGTTGTGTCAGGCTTGCCGCAGTCAGGTATTCCCTTCTCAGCCTAGTTCATCAGTGCTCCACATGGCACCTCGGTGATAAGATTGTTCCAGAGTTTGAGGATTCCAGGTGAGAGAAACTAGACACAAATAGGGAAGTGTCCCTGCTCACGGCAGGGGGGTTGGAACTAGATGATCTTAAGGTCCTTTCCAACCCTAACGATTCTATGATTCTATGATTTTATGAACTCTCAACTAGTTTATTAATATAGGAAAATATTGAGATACTAACAGAGACAGTAAAGGATACTTCTGGTGTTTGGTCATCTCACCAACCCCAAGGACCCTGTGATGACGATCAGGAAAAAAGCTCTGAGAATCCTCACTGCAGTGCGGGGTGGCAGGCTCAACCTTAGTGGGTGTCCCCGCGGAGCCAACGCTGACCTGGGTGGTACAAGGGTCTGCCTCCTTGCATCACTTGAGGCTCGGGCTTTTATACTAATGAAAATGCACGCGCATTCTGATGCAGGCGGCCAGCCTATGTCGGAAGAAGTGGCCAGCAGTATCTAGAAAGGCCTCCGGGGGTAGGGACTTTTCCAGGGATTTCTGACGCGGAACATTCCGGGTAAGAATCAAAGTTGGACTTTCCGGGGAGTAGCCAAAGCAGGACCTTCCAGGGAGGAGCCAAAGTGGACAAACGGTACTTTTCTATCTTCGTGTGTTTCACCAGGGACCATTATTTAGTGTCCCTGACACAAAGATCCAATAATGAATTTTACCTGTAATTAGCCTGCACAGAGCTCCAGACATTGTACTGGTTCATAGTTCACCCCAGAAAAGAATCATTTGCAAAGCACTTGGCTATGTTGGATTATGGAAAACCCATAAGGAAATCAGTGTTGTTTTAGGGACTTGAATAATGTGCAATAGATAAGGTCCGAGGTCACATTATTAACATCAGAGAGGGAAATAAAATGTGAAATAGCTGCACACTGAGTGACTGGCACCTGTTGGGTGCACTGGATGAGGGATAAATCCAGTGGGAAATGTGGAATGTTACCAAGTAATGCCAGTTAGGGCCTTAATTAACAGAAGCAAGCTTTAGGCTGGCATCCTGGGTTTGGTGGCTCTGGAGGAGCAAGCCTGGCTCTATGGCTTTGCAAACTCACTGGGAAAGAATCTACAGGGCTTCAGCCTTTCTCATTCCGGTCTTTGCAAAAAGTGGCTCTTGTGCAGGACACAACTGCACACAGTCACAGCATCCTGAGCCTAACAGGCTGCATTCCATGTGCAGAAATGATTATACACTGGGATTAACAGGTGCATATCCCGGTGTTCACACTTTCTCAGGAGCATTGCTTTTTTTTTGCTCTTTTTGCAGGCTGGTATGGCTGAAATGGTCAAGGTGTCTCCTGAAAATCAAGGCTGGAGGTGTCCTACTCTGAAAGGCTACTGTGAGGCAACCCAAGGTTAGTAGAACCAGTGTTTTTTCATGTAGATACAATGGTTTCTGGCAGGCAGTTGAAGTTAAAGGATTATTGTCGTTCAATTTAAAGGATTATTGGCTGTCACACACGTATTGTGAGAACCTATTTGACTGAGGCCAGCAGCAACTTGCTTTGGTTGGTCATGGCATTACCATGAGTTGTAACGCAAAAGGTACAATAGTGCAGTGTGATTTATCATTGGGATTCTGGTGAACCGTCTTTTGTAACATGGGAGAATCCCAACCGTGACAAAATTGGGTCCTCACTTTGGGCACTGCCAAAGTAAAAGGATTAGGACTGATTTATCTCTGGCTCCTAGGAAGTATCTGACAAGGTTCTTGTTTGCCCCGTGGGAGTACTTCTGGTGCTATCTGTTACCACCTTGTTATTGCACAGCTTCCACTGTGTAAAATCTTGTAGGAAAATATAAGGACCAAGATCTTACAGAAGGTGGAAGCAAGGACAGGCGGCCCGAGAAGAATACAGGAACATTGTCTAAATAGCTAGGGATCAGGTCAGGAAGGCTAAGGCCCAGTTAGAATTGAGTCTGGCCAGGGATGTCAAAGGTAACAGGAAGGGTTTTTTTTAAGTATGTTTCTAACAGAAGACAGATGTAGGATAACATCGGCCCTCTCCAGAAGGAAACAGGAGAACTGGCTACTCTGGATTTGGAGAAGGCTGAGGTTCTTAATGACTTATTTGCCTCTGTCTTCACCAGCAAGTGCTGTAGCCCTGCCGCCCAAGTCTTGGAAGGCAGATGCAGGGACCATAAGAATGAAGACCTTAGACCCGCTGCAGGAGAGGATCATGTTTGGAATCATCTTAGGAACCTGAATGTGCACAAGTCCATGGGACCTGATGAAATATATCCGTGGTTCCTGAAGGAGCTGGCAAATGAAGTTGCTAAGCCACTGTCCATCATATTTGAAAAATCATGGCAGTCAGGTGAAGTTCCCGATGACTGGAAAAAGGGAAATATAACCCCCATTTTCAAGAAGGGGAAAATGGAAAACCCAGGGAACTACAGACCAGTCAGTCTCACCTCTGTGCCTTGCAGGATCATGGAGCAGCTTCTCCTGGAAACCATGCTAGTGCACATGAAAAACAATGAGGTGCTTGGTGACAGCCAGCATGGCTTCACTAAGGGGAAATCCTGCCTGACCAATTTGGTGGCCTTCTGTGATGGGGTTACAGAACTGATGGACAGGAGTAGAGCAGTTGATGTCATCTACCTGGACTTGTGCAAAGTTTTTGACACTGTCCAGCATGACATCCTTGTCTGTATGTTAGAGAGATGTCAACTTGAGAGATGGACCGCTCGGTGGATAAAGAATTGTCTGGGTGGCCACACGCAAAGAGTTGTGATCAGCAGCCTAATGTCCAAGTGGAGACCTGTAATGAGTGGTGTCCCTCAGGGATCGGTGTTGAGACTGGTCCTGTTCAACATCTTTGTTGGTGACATGGACAGTGGGATTGAGTGCGCCCTCAACAAGTTTGTGATGACACCAAGCTGTGTGGTTCGGTTGATACAGTGGAGGGAAGGGATAGGATCTAGAGGGACCCTGACACACTTGAGGGCCAATGCCAATCTCATGAAGTTCAACCAAGCCAAGTTCAAGGTCGTACAGCTGTGTTGGAGCAATCCCAGGCACAGCTACAGGTTGGGTGGAGAAGAGATTCAGAGCAGCCCTGCGGAGAAGAACTTGGGGGTGTTGGTCAAGGAGAAACCGAACATGAGCCGGCTTCAGTGTGCGCTCGCAGTCCAGAAAGCCAACCGTATCCTGGGCTGCATCAAAAGGAGCCTGACCAGCAGGTCGAAGGAGGTGATCCTGCCTCTCACTGCTGTCAAGAGACTCCACTTGGAGCACTGTGTACAGTTCTGATGTCCTCAACATAAGAAGGACATGGAGCTGTTGGAGCAAGTCCAGAGGAGGCCATGAGGATGATCAGGGGCTGGAGCACCTCCTGTATGAAGACAGGCTGAGAAAGTTGGGGCTGTTCAGCCTGGAGAAGCTGTGTGGAGACCTCATAGCAGCCTTCCGGTATCTGAAGTGGGGCTATAGGGATGCTGGGGAGGCAGTCCTCATTAGAGACTGTAGTGATAGGACAAGGAGTGGTGGGTTCAAACTGAAACGGGAAGCTCAGGTTAGATATATGGAAGTTCTTTACTGTGAGGGTGGTGAGGCACTGGCACAGGTTGCCCAAAGAAGTGATAAATGCTCCATCCTTGGCAGTATTCATGGCCAGGTTAGACAGAGTCTTGGGCAACATGGTCTAGTGTGAGTTGTCCCTGACCACGGCAGAGGGGTTGGAACTGGATTATCTTAAGGTCCTTTCCAACCCAAACCATTCTATGATTCTATGTTCCCCATGGGTTTTGGCTGCAGAAGGCCTATGTGAGTGGATGCGGGTTTCCATCCAGGCTGGACAACGCTAGCTTTTGTGTAGCAGAGATTAGATTGGGTGCTGAGGTCCCAGCCCCACAATGGAGAAGTCGCTTTCTGACTGGACTATGGTCAGTGGGACTCTTGGTGGGTGTCTTACTACTAACACAACTTTTGCTGTGACACCTTGGGTTAATAGAAGATAGGGAAACTTGGAGATGTGTTACAGGTTGGGGAGCTCCTTATGGAGTCACTGCCGGTTTGGGCAGCTGGTGTCCCTGCCTAGGCAGCTGATGGGGTGCACAGCTGGTGATGTTTTCTTTTGCAGATATAGAGTCCCAGCCTGGTTCGGGTTGGAAGGGGATCTTAAAGTTCATCCAGTTCCACGCCCCTGCCATAGGAAGGGACGCTTTCCACCGGAGCAGGTTGTTCCAGGGCCTGTCCAACCTGACCTTGAACACTGCCAGGGATGGGGCAGCCACAGCTTCTCCAAGTTTCTTGTAACCCCTTTAGGCACTGGAAGCTGTTGTGAAGTGCCCCCGGCGCCTTCTGCTCTCCAGGCGGAACAAGGGGCGGTGCCGGGGGCGGAGCGGTGCGGGGCCCGGTGCGGGTTTATTAGAGCGGCAGGTCGGGATGAGCGGCGCAGGCACGCCACAAGCAGCGGCGGGAGACAGCCGCGCGGTGACTCGCCGCCCCCAGCCCGCCCGGCTGCCGCCTCCCCGGGGCGCCGGCGCCAGTGGGGTGCAGCCGTGCTCCCAGGGACGGCCCCGGCGGCGGGGCGGGGGGGAGCGAGGAGGAGGAGGAGGAAGAGGAGGACGACGACGACAACGACGACGGAGGAGCGCGGCTGCGGCCGGGAGCGTGTGCAGCGGTGGCTGGAATCGGGATGGTGCTCCCGCCCCTCTGGGTACTGGCAGCCGCGCTCCTGGGGCTCCGTGCTGCAGCCGCTCGGCAGGTGAGTGCCGGAGTCCGCGGCCCTTCGGTACCCCCGATCCCCTCTTTCCTGCCGGGACATGCCCCGGGACCCGGCCCTGCCCGCGGCGTCCCTCTGCCCGCGGCCCCGGGAAGCTGCCGGAGCTGCCCCCCCACCGCACCCTGGGTCGTTCCCAGCCCTCGCCCGAAGCGCTGCTTGCGGGGCTGGGACACGGATCCCGGAAGCTGTGACAGTTCGGGCAGGCGGCTCCGGAGCTTGCTCTGCCGCCGCCGTGTCCCGAGCGTTTTCTATTCGCCGCCGCTTCCCGAATTTCTGCGTCCCTCTTTGCCCTCTCTGATGGGTACGGCACCGAACCCGGGGTAGCCTTTAGACGGATCCCGCAGCAACCCCGTAGCACAGCTGGACCGCAGTGCATCCTCTGGACCCCACAACATCCCCCAGGGTCAGACCGAACCCCACAGCAGTCAGATTTCCCTCCGTGTGCCACCCCCAGGTCCGGGACAGGCCACTGTCTCTGTTCCTGCTGTCAGCCAGGACATCCAGCTGAATTTACTCTCCTCCAGCATGGAAAGGAGCAGAGCTGTGAACAGGCATACCCGGCACCCGCATTGCTGTCAGGGGCATTGAGGCATTTCTTTTGCCACTGAGCTTGCTTTTTGGCACAGTGTCACGGTGTGTAGAATGGGTCATTCAGAAACAGGATTTCTTAGTAGCTCTGTTTACATTCAACTTAGTATAGACTTTGTTAGTATATTTATGGGAACAGCTAGTTTAAGGAAAAAGCCTTCCCTGGAAACCAAAAGCAGAAATGTACCAAATGTTGCAATATAGACCAAGTCATGTTTAGGTTACTAGAAGCTCTGGCACATAGCTTAAGTAACTACACTAGTGACTTACTGCATGTGTTTGTTTTCTCTTCTGCAGACTGGTAAAGAACAGCAGACCCAAATAGGTAAGCCTTTTGAAATATTGCTGCTATCAAAATGGAAATAAAAGAAGTAAACTCAACAAATGAGTATATTTTCAGAAAAATGATCTGTGTGCTGGTGAGCATTCCCTCCTGTACCCTCACAGTGTCACCACCCAGTAGTCTCACAGTCATGTGGCATGTTATAAGGTCAGGGAAGACCTTATAGAAGTCTTCCAATACCTAAAAGTGGCCTACAGGAAATCTGGAGAGGGACTTTTGACAAGGGCCTGGAGGGACAGGACAAAGGGGAATGGCTTTAAACTGACGGGAGATTTAGATGAGCTCTTAGGAGGAAGCTCTTCCGTGTGAGGGTGGTGGGGCCCTGACAGAGGTTGCCCAGAGAAGCTGTGGCTGCCCCATCCCTGGCTGTGTTTGAGGCCAGGTTGGATGGGGCTTGGAGCAACCTGGTCTAGTGGAAGGTGTCCCTGCCCATAGCAGGGGGTTGAAACTGGATGAGTTTTAAGGTCCCTTCCAACCCAAACCAGTCTGGGATTCTGTGGCTCTTGAGTTTGCATGTCCTCTCATTGCATGGTTTTGCATCCTGACACATCTGCGCTTCCCTTCTAAAATATTAGATGTTAGTGTAGCACTTGGTGTAAGAGGTTGGGGAAAGATGGGGAAGCCAGGGAGGCAGAGTGGGACTGGACCCCAGGCAGTTCTGTTTCCAGGTGCCATCAGACCTCCAGTTCTGAAGCTTTGGTTCAGGTTTTGATCTGAGCTTTTGTTCATAGAAGTATTTCAAATATTCCTCTAAATTTTGGAGATCTCGTCTCTGGCAGTGCTGGTTCTGGGCTTGGGTTGGTTTCTGCTGTGATCAGTAGATACTGGGAACTGGGACATTAGGTATATTTAAACCTCACTAGCAAACAGACTTTTTTCCAGTGGTATGCTGATTCTGTGTTTTATTTCTGTTTCCATGATAAATGAATTCTATTTGAATTTCAGAAACCATAAGCTATACAGGAATGCATAATTTAAATTACACAGTATATCAGACCAGATTCCTCAGTCTGGAAAACAACTTTGTCCTTTAACTTCTTCCTTTCTTTCATGGATTATAGTTGGGAACATTTGAGGTGAACAGGAACCGTGGAGGGAGATGATCTGGAGTGGCTGAGAGTGAATTGGGCACCCTGCACAAAGCCATGGTTGGTGCATGGTGCAGGACAGACTCTGGTCCCAAATGCCTTGTTGGGACATGGTGTTGGTTGGTGCCCAGCCTAAGAGCAAGATGCTGCCATGTCTGCATCTCCCTGGTGCAGCCCCATGACATCTCCATGGGTTTTGGTGCAGGCCAGCAGGAACAGGAGACCAGTGTTTACTGAGACCAGGCTGGCTGTGAGTGGCTTGTTGAGGGCACATCTGTATTTTTGAAGCACAAACAGCTAGCTCACACTTAACAGTCATTGGGATTTGTCCCACCTTTTACATTCTTAACTGCATTAATGCAGGATTGTACTTCTGAAATGATCCAGATTGTTGAAAGAGAAGGACCAAAACTGCTTTGTTTTTTTTCTGGAAAACCAAACCAGACATGCTTTGGGATAACTTTAATGGGTTTTCACGTTGCTATTCCTAATTGAAATATTTGCTAGCAATAGAGAGGAAGGTTGGTTACTGCACAGAGTAATTAGTCTCCACTGGATTACTGTGGCTTAGAATATGTTTGGAGAAAAAATGATACTGCCAACACTTTGACCAAATGGACATAATTTCACAGGTCATAGTGATAAGTAAAGGAGCCCCTGTGATCAATTGTTCGTTTGTTCGTAAGTCAGTCCTCTTTCTGCAACACAGAAGGCTGGAAAAAAGAGAGTCCTGTTATCAAAATCATGCAGTGTGAGCACAAACCAAGCAGAACAAGGAGGACTAAATGAGGTTTAAATGCTTTTTAAAAGAAGAAGTAACATCATTAAACTTGGATAGCTTGGTTTAGACAGAGGCATAATTTGCCTGAATTTACAGAAATTCCTCCTTTTCTGCTGATGCCACAGTTTCAGCTTAGACTGTACTTTTGACATCTGTGTTCTGAAGTGGATGTCAGTGCATTTGGAATTCTGCTATGGACATGAACAACCTTTGATCGGTGCCTTTCACAAAATCTTATGCCTAAAAAATAATGTTCTTCCAAATGCAGGTGACTGAAAAAAAAATAAATGTAAGACTTCTGAGCCTCCCTTGTCTGCATTTGTACAGCTCAAAGACAACTGCAGTGAGCCAGTGGTGTGAATTCTTTGGGTTCACGTGTTCATTCCAGGCTTCTCCAACTAATGATGTTTTGGCATACAATGAAAGAATGTGATGTTCTTCCTTAAGTGCTTCCTTTGAACTTAAACACTGTGAAAAGGAGCAGCAGTTTAAAGCCAGATAAAGAAGAAAATCTGAAGTGAAGTGCTTTTGCTATTGCTCTGTTTCTTCTCTGATCACTGCTGTAAACTTTGGGTTAGCAAAACAGCCGTGAAATTCTAGCATAGGAAAGGGAATACCTACAGCTGGAATAGCGTTTGCTGAGCCCATCCAGCCTATGGAAACAGGGTAATGCAAGTCAGTGGAGGAGTTGAGATGTCTTCAGTATTCAGGCATGTCACATTTAATTTTAATTGTGTTTGAACAAAAGGCATTTCCTCTTCCAGCTCAGCATTTAGAGGCTCTGGTAAAGGCTTTTGCTGACTCAAAAACTTGACAGTTCTTATTTTCCACCCTTTGTTCCTACCCTCTTGTGGCTAGCTGGCTGTTCTGGTTATTAGCGAAAGAGCTTGTATTTTTTGCCCCTGCAAGCAGAACTCTGGAAGTGCTGCTGCAAATGTGCAGAGCAATTTCTCCCTTGTGCAGGGAGCACAGAATCTGATCACCAGACAGTGATCTCTGGTACAGAGCATCCCGCTTTCAAACCAACCCAAAAAAAGCCATGCAGAGTCTTGACAAGGTAAGAGGAGGAAAGTCAGTCTGGAAGGAAATCTCATCACCGAAACACTGGGAGCGTGGGGATCTGGATTGTTGCTTTGACCCAGTTAGGATGTACAGCCCAGCAGCTCTGCCTCCTGTCTAATTAATACAAATGAGTGTAGAATTTTAATTTGGTCCCTCCTCTAATGACGGAGATTAGCAATCCTGACTCTGAATTCCCAGTGTTTTAGATGGGAATTATTTTAGGGATAGTGTCCTAATTCAGATAGCAGCTGTATAACATGATTTTATAGGTATATGGCTGCTGCTGAAACTACACCATGACTCGTGCCTGTGAGACATGGAGAACGTCATCAGAATAAGGAACTTTACACTTGCCTGTGATGCATCATTTGTGTATTATGTAAAGATATTTACAGTGCAGGAATTTAAATGTCCATGTACATCCTACTAGTACCTGTCGTGGTTTAAGCCCAGCTGGTAACTCAAAACCACGCAGCCTCTTGCTCACTCTTCCGCTTCAGCCACTGCTACGAGGAAAGAGGAGCGAGCTGCTGAGCTTTTCCACTTTATTCCCAGCTCAAGTGTGATTCACACTGGGATTGGGTAAAAATTAGCTCATTTAATTAAGTATATTTATTTGAGGAATTCTCAGCAGCACTCAGCAGGAGCATCTGAGCTACCTAATCATGGTATGAAAAGAAATTAAATTGAAAGCATCAGTAATATCACTCTACTATTGCTTTAGCCAGTTCTCTGAGGAGGATAAGAGCTAGGCAATAGTTATTTCTGTGCTAAGTATCTTTTTAACTCTCATATAATCTAACACGCAGTCAGTAAGGCCAACAGTTAAGCAGTTTGACCAACAGCTTGACCTGGCCTGGGAATGTCTCTCCTTCTCCTTTTACAAGATGAAAAGTCAGACACGGAATGTCCTGATTACTTCCAGATTACAAAGGTCTCACAGAAAAGATAAACTCATTTGACAGACTTGTTTTAGAGTGGTGTGAAATTACTTCAGGGCAATGGGAAACGTGTGTGTCCTGCCATAGGGCTGCAGAGGTGATAAGCAATAACAGGAGATGACCTTTCTCTAAGCAGAAGAGAAGACTCTTTTCCTTTTCTCATCAGTACCTAAGGATAGCAGGGAGAGGAGAGGGGAAACTAATTCTCTTAGGCTAATAATGCTATTTTCAAAATGCAGGTAAGGGACTACACAGAAAGAGGGTTTTGGGGGGCTGAGGGTTTTATATTCACATAGGCAAATTCAGATCCCAATTGAAAGTCTTCCAGTCAGCTTCAGCTAATGTTGCTTATTAGGTAGGAATCCTTAGCTGACCAGTGGGAACCACCAAAAAATTATAGGCAAATGGGACTTACAGTGCTGTTAAGTTTTTTTGCTGAGGCTCTGTTTCTTGGCCAACACATCTGCTGAAGCAGGTTGGCCTTGGGGTGACATCCAGGGCAGCTGATTGCCCACATCCTGGCCTGGCTGCTCTGTTCAGATACCTCGGGATGCTGTGACACACTGATTTAGAGGTATTACAGCAGTGACCTTTTTGGAAGCAAACCTTGTGTTTAGGACGCATTCCCTTAGCTAGGGGTCATGCCATTCAGCTTCTCTAGTATTACCTGAGGACTTCTTTGGTTCTATCAGCACAGTGTGGTTTTGCTGGTTTTATGGCTTCTATGTAATGCAGGATTTAGGTACAAATTTGTTAAGTTCTGTGTTGTTTGTTTTTTTTTTTTTTCCATAATTATCTTCTCTGTTGAGCTCTTACTCAAGTTTATATGAAGAGGAAGGGCAATAGCAAGTAGCTGGGTAAGGGGATTTGTTGGAGGAGATCTGTACAGGGAAAAGTTACTGCTTGTACCTCTCCTGGCATTGATTCATTTGTCAGCAGTATGTGATATCCACTAGATTCTTTTCCCTGTTTTCTAAGAGTACAGAAAGGTCTGTGCAAGTTGGAGTTATAACCAAGTATGGCACTTGGTTTTCAAAATCTGAATGGAGTTCTTGACACAAGAGCAATCAATACTGATCAAGGCGTATGAAGGAGTTATGGTGTATTTCATAAAAGAGAACTCAAATGGTCGCTGTCTCTTCTGTGGCTGTTAAGCAAACCTAAATCGTAGGAAACTCCCCAGATAAATGTAAATGAACATTTCAAGGTTTTTTCTGTAAGTTTTATGAAAATAGAGTAATGAAAGACCTACTTCTTAAGAATTTTGGCACTTGGGAGGGTATTTTGCATGCGCTTCATGTGTACCCCAGTGTCTGTGGTGTGTGTTTGCTTGAGGTGGGCACAGCTGCTTGTGTTTGTCCACCTTGACATGATTCCCTGAAATTTGAATTTTTGCTCACGTCATCCCAGATTTGTTGTTCCTTGCTCAATGTGATGATTTGTCAAACACTTTTCTATGTCTGCCTTTTTTTCCTCTTAATGTCTGTGTAAAAGTAGCACAAAGCATTTTTATAATAATAATTAGGAGTGTTAAAGGCCTTGTTGGAAGGTACCCAAGTGAAGATCTATAAGCCTGAGTGTTCCAGCTAAAGAGAGCAGTGACACATACTCTGTGTTTGCCTACACTGGTTGGGTGTGCTTACTTCTAGGCTAGCTGTCTAGGAGTTAATATAATGTACATTGGTGTGGTAAGTGGCACTGTCCCCTGTCCTTTTCAAAGCTACAGTGGGTTTATCTTCCTTGAGCTGAGCTTCTGGGTGGAGTGTTTTAGAGTAGCTCCAATAGGAATCCTAACTTGAGAATTCTGAGAGGGGAGATGTGATGAAGAGGGTTTCTATGCACATGGCATTTGGTGTTAGGCCTGGCCATGCAGTAGTTGTGGTGTGTTATGCATCGAATGAGTTGCTGGAGTGCTCTCCAAATGAGTGTAGCCCTCAATAGTCAACCCATGGCCCATTGTGTCTAGGGATGCTGGGGAGGGACTCTTCATTAGGGACTGTAGTGATAGGACAAGGGGTAACAGGTTAAAACTTAAACAGGGGAAGTTTAGATTGGATCTAAGGAGGAAATTCTTTCCTGTTAGGGTGGTGAGGCACTGGAATGGGTTGCCCAGGGAGGTTGTGAATGCTCCATCCCTGGCGGTGTTCAAGGCCAGGTTGGATGAAGCCTTGGGTGAGATGATTTAGTGTGAGGTGTCCCTGCCCATGGCAGGGGGGGTTGGAACTGGATGATCTTAAGGTCCTTTCCAAGCCTAACTATTTTATGATTCTATTGTTTGTCCTGGAAACATGCACTTCTGTAGCTGCATGTCGAGTATTCAGCTCATTCCATGCTCCTGTTTTAATTTTCCTTGGTTTTGGGTATTTCTGTTCGCAGAATTACGAAAAAGCAGACCAAGACCGTATGGGTTAGTGATTCCAATCAGTACCAATGCAGACGGAAGCTACATCTCCAATATTCTCTCTGCAAGTCACCAAAGAAGGTCAACGCGGGAGGTATCCCAGAGCCTCAAACAGTTGTATTTTAATGTCACTGCCTTTGGTCAGGAATTCCATCTCCGGCTGAAACCCAACACTCGTTTAGTGGCTCCCGAGGCTGTCGTGGAGTGGTACGAAGATTCTGTGCAAACTAGAAGTGATGCTTGTAACGCAAATCAAAGTAGAACTGCTACAGAGAGGTTATGGAAGAGAGAGCCCCTGTGGACCAACTGCGCATATGTAGGAGACATAACGGACATCCCCGGAGCTTCCGTGGCTATCAGCAATTGTGATGGTCTGGTAAGGCTAGCTATGGCATTGATGTCTGGTGATTTACCACTTCGTACACAGATTTTGTTGCTTTTAACTACATGTTGCTCATGATACCATTTAAAGAACTTGATTTCTTAAAGCCCTTAGAAAATGCTTCCGTATATATGGATGTATACAGATTTCCTGCTTTATTGTGGGATAATTTCTCCAAGTTTAATGAGCCAAGTCTTTAATGTTGCTGGTGTGTGAGAGAGGAATGAAACCTTCATTTTGCTGGTCTTTCTTTTTACTGTCATGAGGTGTTACAAATAGGAAAATGAATAATGAAGTCATTTCAAGACTTAAAAGATGACTTTCTTGTGAGTGGATGTAGAATTTGGTGTCCTAGTTGGCCCTGTGTACTTCTCAGGTAGCAAAGTCATGCCTGCCCCATAGCCCAAGAATAGCAACAGATTCAAGTTTTCAAGGGTTTATTTATAAAATAAGCGTGGCTTTTGTTTGCTTACATGCCATGCTGTTTCATCAGAAGGTGTTGTGTGAGAACCAAGTGGCTCGCATCTATAAGCGGTTGGCTCTTCAAACTGCACTGGGTTCCTTGGAAAAACGAGGTATTTGGTTGTGGCTTTAGCAGATGGGGTGACTGGCTTGGTGCACAAATCCCACATTGAAAGACTGGGCATGCACTGAGCACGCATACCATTCATTAATTCAATCATGTGGTAAAGGAAGCTAACAATACCCACCTTGTTCTCTTTAAGTAGCAGGGGCAGTGGTGGAACATGACTGCAACATCCAGGAAGATTAATGTAGTGGTTGCTCTGCTGCTGGAGAGGAATTGCATGAACAAGTCTGCATCAAGTATCCCTTCTTGGTAACGGGTTTCCCTCTTCCTGTTATGTGCCACAGGTTAAGATTTTGATTCCCTTTGGCAATAAGTGCTATCTAGGAAACCTCCCTGCCTCTGCAGCCTGCCCCAGCCACTGCACAGGCAACTGCATCACTGTCTTGGAGTCCTGAGTCAGAGCTGAGGGAATGCACAAAGAAAGCTCCACAACTATCCTTAAAGAAAGGAAATACTGGTGGTGTTCACACCTGAGGTGATCAACTGATGTCATTTTGGTGTGTTTTGGTTGTTATTTGGGTTTTTTTTTTTTTTAGGACTATCTGTTGGCACTGTGCTGTGCTTACAAAGGCAGCACAGATATCTGCCTGGATGAATACAGCTTCAAGTGTAGTTCTTGAGATGGAGACCCTCAGGCTGAGAGCTGTGTTTTAGCAGTAATACTGAATGCAGTTCTTGTGTTTCGTGAGACAGCATATTAAGACAATAAACTGGATTAAATGGAATTAAATTTGGGAGTACAGCGGCTTTTGCAGAGGTTGCCATGTGTCTGACAAGCTGCTGGTGTTGTGCTTTCAGCTAACTGAAATGAAGTGGTTGATGTCTTGACAAACCTCTATGTGTATAAGACCACAGCAGATACCAGCGGGCTCCTAAGTAAAGGAGTTTGTCAGTTATGTTGGGCCACTCTGCACATCACACCCAGGAGAAGCCCTTCATGTGCTTTCTGTGGTTTTAGGGACTGGACTGGGAGAACATGAGCTTTTTGTTTGAGGAGGAGAGTGGGTCAGTGCTCCTGGGTGACTCTTGTCTTTGCTCATCTCAATCCAAGCTGCTTTGTCCCACCTTTGAGGGGCTTCCTTAAGCCTCTGAAACACCCACCATGTGGTGGGGTTGGAAACCGGGTGGACAAAATCCTTTTAAATCTTAAAGCTGTTTTGTAATAACTGTAGTCAGAGTTTTTCAACCAATAGCAGTAAGTTCTTTTCCATTAATATGGGCTCTTAATAATCAAGGTGAACACTCTTAATAGGGTAATATTTGTAAATGTTAAGTAGATGAACACATGCTCTCACCTTTATCGTTTACAGCTGTTTTAATTACCCTGACCTATGGGTTTAGGAAAAAAAAAATCATGGCTTGCTTTTCTGTCTCTGCAGAAAGTGAGAGATCAGTTTTAAGGATAAATTTCCTGCAGGATGAAATACCACTTTGTGTGGGCATATTTTCTATTCTGGATCATGGATGTGCTACGAAGCTGTGGTAAACTGTCCCCTACCCATGCTTTGCTGCTGGGGACACCCTGGAGCAGCTCCTGTGTTAAAACATCTCTTTAAGCACTTTGGCTTGTTCACTTCACCTACCTGTTGTAACAGGCCTTTGGAGCACTAAGCAAGTGAGTGTGAAATAAATAAACAATCCTCAGGACTGATGGGATTGCAGATTTATGTTTCTTTTCCCTCCTGCCAGCTCCAAGGTTAGCAGTAACTTGCAGTTAGTATTTCTGGCTTCTCTATTGCTGTACTGCGTGTCTCTCAACCAAGCTAGAATATTTGACCCTCAGTGTATCCTAAAGATGTGAAGGGTGAGATAATACAGCTTAACAGAAACTGGAACAAGAGTGAGAAATTCTAGGGCCATGTCTCTGTTGGAAAGATTTATTTTGGACTTCAGAGGAATTTAAACGCTCTCCAGTGTAATCAGGTAGGGTTTTATCTTTGAGGAGAAAGCGGAGGGAATCACTAGTACCAAATCACTTGATGTGTAGCTTATAAAAGAAATTTGCCATCATGAGTAACAGAAAAAGAACACTTATGGCTTGCTTTCAGTCACTTATGGCTTGACCTAAGTGTGTGAAAGACCTCCCCACCCCTGAGTTTTATTTTGTGCATAATCAAGACTCATAAGACACATACTGTAGCTGGGCAAAGTTGTATGTTGTGCTAATGTGCACTTCACAGACACTGCTGAATTTTGTATCATTTAGTGTCTGCTCTCAACACTAATTGTATGGCTCTGAGGAACATGGAAGATAAGGCTGCTAAATTTTGATTGCTTGATTGTAAATATATAGAATAATTGTCATTTGCACTAGTAAAGCAGGCCTATGCTCTCTTCCTGAATCTAAATTTACATTTAAAACCCAAAATATGCAACTACTTCTGTTTTGAAATAGTTTGCATATCTACTTTTGCAGTAACAGTCATCTGCATGCCATCAGTTTGGTGAATTCCGGTCTTCACATCTGCTTTATATCCCTTGAAAATAACCCTGTTTATGTAAAAAATTGCATGCATGTCCATGCACTTGTCATGGCAGAAGAACACTTACTCATGTAGGAGCTGCCCGGTGGTTTTATTACAGTGTTTCAGACTGCTGGTGCTTCTGTAGGTCTCTGTTGTGTATTTCTGCTGTTGTTTCTGTCAACTAGCAGTATTTGTGGGCGCAGTATTTATGGAGGCTGCCCAGAGGAACTGTGGCTGCCCCATCCCTGGCAGTGTTCAAGGCCAGGTTGGACGGGGCTTGGAGCAACCTGCTCTAGTGGAAGGCATCCCTGCCAGTGGCAGGGGGTTGGAACTTGATGAGCTTTAACGTCTCTTCCAACCTGAAGCAGTCTGGGATTCCATGATTAGGGAATAATTTGAAGTGTCTGAATGGAAGCATTCCATTCCAGTCACAGAGGTGTACACGGTAACTTTCCTTTGGCAAATCTGTTTGAAATACAGGCTGGAGTATCTCTGCCTGGAGATACTTGCATGAAGACTTAAGCCTTGGTTCAGGAAAAGCCTTAAAAATATGCTTAATTCAGGCATGTGATTGAGTGCATACTGGAGTCTAAGCAGTTTCAATTTTTGTTTCTTTCAAATGATCTTTTATGACTATTATTTCATCAAGATCGAAGTAGTAAGGCTTGTTTCTTGTTCATGTCTACTGCCCAGGCTGTGGCGAGCAAAGCTCTGGCAACCCGGTGTCTTCTGGGACCATGAAACAGAAAAATGGAATAAACAGTAAGGGAGAATAAACCATGTGCTGGCCTGTGCAGACAGTAGCAGGGCTTTAGACTGATGTAAATGTCTCCATCCATGCTGCCCTGCCCTACTGCATGCTTCCCACAGTGATGACATCCTTGAGTGAACTCCCTTGACCTGCTGTGCCTGTGCTTGCCACTTGCATTTTGCTGTACTTGGTAGCCCCACAGACTTAATAACTGGGCGTGATGGGTTGCAGCTGCCTCTTTGGATAGACAAATCCCATCTGGTAACCTCAGCCTGTCCTCCCTGGTCAACCAAGCAGCTGCTGGTCACTGTCAGGCTTGACTTGGAATTCATCCCTGTCACATCCCTAGCACGCAGCGCTTCCCAGAGGCTAATACCGACTTTCTGGATGTAGTAATCCATATTAAAGAGGATTTCCCAAAGTTCAGAAGCTCCGGAAACTTAGGAAAATGCAGTGTCGTCTTGTTGCTTATTCAGGTCTTCAGGTTTCTTGCATAAAACACTGGGGAAAAGAGTGTTGAGAAGGGAGGTGATGGTGGTTGAAGGAAAATGTCAAGATAGTTTAAAATAATATAATACAGAAATACTTTAGATGTCTAGCTTGCATTTTCTTGAAGCTGTCACCCAAAACAAGCAGGTTTCATTGGTGTAGTGTAGACGAAGTATATGCAGATGCTTGCTCAACTCAATTCATTTCTACTTTATTTTTAAAAGTTCAAATCTGGGCTAGTGATAGATTTGCCTCACTTAACCTGTGTGTCTCCTCCTCTCCTGCTGCCTTGCATTTCTCCCTTTCTTGCTTAGAAAAAAAATTGCCCTTCCCCATGTAAAATTTCCCCTTTCTTCCAAAGTTCTAATTTAAACTCATTTTTGTGAAGCTTTTTTCCGCCGAAGGATGTGTCTGCAAGACAGATACCGCATTCACATTTGCAGAAGATGATGTGAGCAGGGAGAAGATCAAAGTCCCAGCTCAGCTCTTGCTCCTATGGGACTTCAGCCCATGACCAAAACAAGATTAAACCTAATTGAAAAGATTTTTTTTTTTTATTGGTGCAAAGAAAATCTCTTTGCTTCAGCAGGTACGTTTAGAAACCTGTTCTTCACACCAACTTCTGCTGCCTGTTCAAGGATGGTGAATGGGGGGAACCTCTGTTCTTCAGAGGTTGTACAAAGTAGGAAGTATTAAAAAG